GATACCTGGGACGCGCCAGTCAGCAATTTACCAATTATTTTCCCTGTCCCTAGTAAAACTGTCCCAGAAGTCTTTGTGAAAGTATGTCGGCCCAGTTTCTTCCGCTTTTCTAAAGTGGCGAAAGAGAAATAAGAGACTCCTTCAAGTAGTCGTTTCTCTAAATTTAGATCAAGAGCCATAATGGCTCTTGATTTAGACATAGCACTGTACGTGATAATCGTAAGATCTTTTCCTTTACTCATCATCAGCCTCACATGCATATATATATATTTTATCTTGGGCAGAGTTTCGTCTGAAAGCTCACCTTCTTCCGTTCTACAACGTAGGGCTTTAGTTTAGATCTCTTGAAGAAATCAGGTTCACCCTGGCTGAAATTTTAGGAAGGGGTAAGATTTACTCACAATCACAAACATTTACAATGATATTTTTAAATCGTTAAACATTACCTATCATTAATACCAAATACATACTGTTGTTACAAGAAAACGAAAGGGTGTAGTGAAATTGGGTGCGTAGAAGTTCAGTGTCTATTTAAATCACTCTATTGCGCACGCGCAATCCTACTTTAAAGTAGATACGTATTTTTAACGGTTGTGACTGGAATGGATACCCTAAATTCAGATTGTCATCTTTACTCCCCAAAATACATGACAGGAGTTTTATAACTTAAAGCAGTGAATAAGAGAAGGAATAAGGAAGAAAACAGTAGGTAGTCTAGGTAGTATGAAGGACGTGAACCCGCACGATTTGATTGATGTATAATCCACATCCGTATCCACCACACCGTCAAGGGCTAACTGCCAACATCAGTTAATTGTAACGTACTTTAAATCACACTGATCAGTACACTATTGTAAGGTAACCTTTTTTAAAATAGTGCTTAACCCTAATCATTGTACTTCGGTGCTACTGTGAGCCTGTATTCAACTACCCTAAGAGCAGAGACCCTTCAATCGACTTATCTAGGAAGATCGAAGGGCCTCTGCTCAACTGTCCCTTATTACTCTGATTTCTCCACTTTTGCCAAAAATCTGCCACCCAGCTATTTGCGGAGCAAATCATAGCCAACTTTTGTTTTTTATACAAAGAATAAAGTTGTTGTTGTTGTTGTTGTTGTTGTTTGTTTTAAACTCCGGCCGGACCGTCGGCCTGACCAACAACAAGGGTCTTTTAAAAAAGCTAGTGAGATAATTCTGACTGTGATTTAAGACCTTGTCTCACTTTAGATAATGATGATCGCGTCATTGGGCGGTGACGTTGGACTGGGGCCTTTCATTAGTCAAATCAAAGGGGACGTATAAAAGAACTCACACTCATACTGTTCGAAATGAATAGCCGCAGGGGAGGTTTTCCCGGCGGTGTGGTCTACCTTTCACGCTTCACGCATCATTTTATCATGGGCTATAGGTGGGTTACAGTAAGCTCATAAATGGACTGTTAGCGGCTGCCAGTGGCGCCCTTGCATGCTGACGTCCGAGCTTACTGTTAACATGTTAATTGCCAAAGAGCAGCCTCGCGAAGACGCGAGGGTGCGAGGTGGCAGCCAAATAGAGCCTTGCGTGAAAGTTCCAAGGCAGAAAAAATCTCGAATCGATGTAATACATAGTAATGTAAGGTAACTTTTATGACGTAATGCAGAACAGAGAATGCATTGTTTTAGAGTGATGAACACGTGATACAGAACAGAGAATCCACGAGCCGTGTGCGTGTTTGTGAGTCCCGTGCTCATCCCGCCTTCAACCAATCGTCGGGTGGATTCATTTGCATCACACGCGTATCGCTGTCGCATTTGCCCGCTGGAGCTTTTTATTGCCTGCCCCAAAGAAAAATAACGAAGTCGCAAAATTTATTGTATCTTTGAAGCAAAATAATTCGTAAGGCTTCATCGGCGCAATATAAATTTATTTTTTGCTCTAAAAAGATACCAAATATATATCTGTATGTTGACTATTTGCGGACTTTGATATGATTTTTCGAGGATTCTAAGTCTGCCCATAAGACTAACAAATTTTACGCAAAATGACCTGTGGGCAACTTCGGACAAAAACCCGGACTTCATCTCGAAAAAAAGCTTTGTAGAGTCGGGATTTCAAATTCTTTATGCAGTAGAACAGTTCAGTTCACTATATTCAAGGTAATCTTTGCTTATGCAATCGAATCAAGTTCAATTTATTTTCATAAATTACGGTAATTAATGACATTTCTAAACAAATGGAACAGTGCGCGCGTATAAGTAAAAACTTTTGCTCGTTGGCACAAACCGATAGCTATAACTAGAGTATACTGTAAAGAGGGCGCGTCTTGTTGTCCTCTAACACTCGACCTTACATTACATTACTCTACAATAAATTCGCATTAATAGTTCTCTACGAGGAGTAATAAACATAAGGTGTCCAACCTGATTTTAAGTTGTTTGTCAAGTCGCAACCTATTTCTTACATGAACAGAGTCGAAACAAACATACATGATAAATGCATGGGACTTTGCATGAATCATTTGCTTAGCGCCACAAAGTTATGAAAAGCCTGGCCCTTAATATAAGAAGAAGCAAATAACATTTCTAATTATTACTGTTTGAAACAACTGCGGGTAACTATGAATGTGCCCTTACCACAAACATTTGCCGGTCTATCAGCGAAAGCAGCGCTCAAAAGGAAAACCAATGCCCGCCTTCAATTTGCCTTCAGTTGAATCGGACCTGGAAAAGCGTTTTCACATGACGTCACGGCGGCCATATTGGTGTTCCAACGAATCCTGTGGGAGTTAAACTCTTTTCTTATGTAAAAGCTTTTTCTTGTTCCAATAAATTTGCATAGATGGTGGTCACGTAAGTGAAAACGCTCTATTACGAAAGAGCACGCGCTGCCAAAATTTGACTGGAAAAAAAATTGCAGTTTACGCGTGCAGCTGTCAAATTTGCCCATTGGAATTTTTACTGTTTTCGACCCAGTAAAAACAGAAAAAATTACTACGGGCAAAAGCTACGGCTATGACGCGCCAGTACTGCAAATTAATCCAAAGGCCTAACTGCGCTGTCTTCTTATGTATCACTAAAAAAGTGATCACATGATCTTCTGGTGCTATTTGGAATAAATTGCATTTTTTTTAATTGTAAAATTAATATCTAGGCTTTCTCTGGCAAAAAAAACACACTGAAACTAAACTGAAACTGAAACAGTTTCAGAGCTTAGGGAATTATTTGAATGTAACCTGTTTTTCATCATAATAATAGACATGAAGAAAAATCCTTAAATCTGAGGATTGGCTGAGAGCAATGCAGTTTTATTAAACACAGAGCAAAAACGAGGAAATATAATACAAAAACAAGGTAATAAAATGTTAATAATATATATCATAGAATTGAGTCCAGTGATGAAAAGGCGCCGCCGAGCCTCACATCTCGGTAGATTTACTTTGTGGAATAACGGCCGCCGAGCTACACAACTCGGTAGACCCTCTGAAAACAGATTCACCCTGAAGTCATGCTGAAGGGCCTTTTTTTTAGTGCTGCAGTTTGCACCGGGGTGCCGTTAAAGCAACTCCGCCAAGTTTTCTGGAACAAGATGCAGCTACTACGGAGAAAGCAATTTTAAGACTGCCTCTGAGAATTTTTGCGCGTGAAACGTGTTTCTTTTCCAGAGCTAAGTGAGGAGGAGGAGGAGAGGAGGTGTGGGAGAGGAGGTGTGGGAAACGAGTGTAGAACAGCGAGTGAGGGATGATGGGTACGCCTCCAAACTTAAAAATTTCTGCATATGCGATTTCGAGAGGCTGGTGACGAGGCAGACGCACAGTCTGATTAAAAACTTTGTAAATAGACACAAAGTCGACACGGAGGTATAGAGGTTCCCCAATGGGTTTTTCGGGATCCGTGCGCTTTTGTTGCGTTGCGTTACGTTATTCTAAAACTTCTGAGAGTGAATCTATTTCTGTATAGGGGCATGAACTTGCTAATTCGTTTCTTTTGTTGATGGGCTCCTGCCGAGGAGGATTGATGACAGCCCCCTATCCTCCATTGATATCACGTTACCATGTGGGTATTCTTGGTTTGCAACCACGTGACAAGGCAGCCATGTTGGGGGTCAATACAATAGAATTGTTTTCTCGAAGGATTTAAATGAAAATAGGGGTTAATTGCCAGAGAAGAGAAATGCTTTTGTTAATTCTTGACCACCAACATAGCCGCTGTGACGTTACCTGCAAACCAGTAGTATGAGGGTTCACTTTAGCCTCCCCGCAGACGTAATTTGGGGCTCGTTCGTCACGCATTCATTTCTCCCCCACGGTCACTTTTCATTATATCTAAAAACAAAAGCCTTCGTATGCTAGTAAGCTTTTATTAAAATGAGCTGTGTTAGGCAACAAAACAATGCAATGTGTATTTATTGGCCATCAAATTTAAAATTACATCATGTACTGGCCCTCCTTATCCTACAATAAACATTGGTCGATTTTCAAAAAGCATTCGGAAAAGTAATATTTTGGCGCCCTGATTAGTTTTAGCAAACTGAACTTATGACGTTTGTTAAACTTGATTATACTATGAACATAGTGGCTTTTATGGTTATCAACAGCTGTTATTTATGCAGTGTATTTTCAAGATAAGTTCGCCATCACGGTACCTCTCCAGTAAATTCCGCAGAACAGTAAAGCCCCGGAGTAAAGCCCTCTGATTGTAAAACATTAGTTAAAAGAGTTTGTCGGTGTGATGTTGCGAGAAAGTGAGCTGTTCTCTTTAAAAATATGTCCCTGCTTCGTAGTCTTCATTGCGAGAGAACTAATTAGCTAACTGACTAGTTTTACTGATATTTTCATTTTTGTTATGATTATTAAACGTTTTAACATAAACAAATGATTTTGTTTGTGTCTTTAGAATCTGCAATGAAACAGAAAACAATATTAAAGATGCAATTCGGACTAGGACATTTGTCTGGTTTTCTTATATACATTTTCTTATCAAGTTCGTTAGTAAATGTTCTTAGTTTAAGTCTTATATTCATAGTTCAGGTACAGAAGTGTAATTGTTGTAACGTTTCTTTTACAGCTTGTCTCACTTCTGTAATCTTCCAGCAGTACAGCAATGGGTTTAACGAAGAGTTTAAATACACTAAAGTTGCTGTAAATTCCCTAGCAAGGTAAGTAGACAAAGGAATCCTCCTTTGAGGTGTTAAAGCTACAGCTGTAACGTACGGCAGATAACAAATAACCAACGTTACCTGCACCCACAGTGCACTGTACACTGCCTTTCTGTATCGAGCTATATTCAGTGTATTTGCTTGGCCTGATTGTCCTTGAACAACATGGTTCTGAACATGAATTTGGTTATGACGCAGAGACATGAAAATTTTTGTGTAGGCACAGATTGTAGTAACTAAACAAAAAGCTGCACCAATATATCGGCACAAAGAATCTATAAGAGGATTCAGAATGGAGATAGATGCAACGACAATAGACACGATCCAACCACCAATAGCAATTAAACGCGTTCTTTTAAAAGTTACAACTTGTCTGTATCTGAGACCCAGCAGCAAAGCGAGAAGTCTGTCCACGCTTATTGTAGTCATTGTTATCAACGACACTGAACACAAAGTAAAACTTGCGAAACCGTATGTCAAATTTGCGTAATAGCAAATATCCCATCTTCTGTTCACCTCAGAGATCATATAAGCAACATGGAGAGGTTCCGCAATGACCCCAACACAAAGATCAGTTATCGCTAGGTTACGATACAGGAGTTTGGATGGCGGATGAATTGATGTGTCCTTGTGAAGGGCAACTAAGATCAGAGCGTTCCCTAAAAATGCTGTAATGGACAAACAAGTGTTAACGACAGAGAGAAAAATGAGCTCGCCATGTACCTCTCCAGTAAGTTCTGCAGAGCACAAAGGTTCTGCAACTGTTTTCAGGTTTTCACCTCCAGTAAAATTTTTCATTTCCATGACTTTTCTGCGATGCGGCTACAGTCAACTGAGCTCTTTTTTATGTATCTGTCCTCCTTATATGACTGCCACATGCACCTTGTCAGGAAACAATTAAATATTTGCTCACTATTTTCAGTTTATGAAACGATAGAGTTCGACAATCTTGGTGTTGCCTTTGTGTTGCCGTGCGATTAGCGAGCAAATCAGCACAATTGCCTGGCTATTAGAAAACGAGTTAAACTGGTAGTAATAAAAAGTCTATTAACCAAGTCTTGATCGATATTTCTGTTAAGCATATATTCAAATTGAGTAAAAAACGGTTTTCGTCAATTGCTAGAAGTTAAACTGACGCGCTCATAATGTCATCGCAGGCAGTGAGGTCTCAGTAACAATGTATAAATGTTCAAATAATGGGCTCGAAAGTCTGGGCCATTTACGAGGTTGGAATTAAAGAAAATAAAACGTTCGTTCGAGCTTAGGAAATTAGAATACAACCTGTTTTTATCATATAAAAATCATGAAAAAAAATTGAATTCGACAATTAGCTGAGAGCAATCAGCAGTTTTAGTAAACATAGTGAGAGCAAGAACGAGAAAACTTTGCTAAAGGAGGTCTTAAGTTTGTGAGCCAAACATAGATGATATGCAGTGCCGTAAGCTGCCGCTTAAAAGCCCTGGGATTATACATCTTTGTAAGGGTTTTTAGAAGGGCTCTTGATAAATTAAACTGAGGGGCTTATATCCGAGGGGGATTATAACGGAATTGGAAAAAGCTGTTTGAAACAATCTAACGCAGTGCTGATTTAAATATGTTTTGTTGCAGTTACTGGTAAAGGCTTCAAAATATCATAATAAATCAAATTTATTTCAATGCAAGTTAGAGGGGAGCTTATATTGGCGAGACTGTTACCGGTGGGGCTTATATTAAAGTGTTTCTGTATTTTGTAGCTTCAAATTGCTTGTGCCGTTTTTCTTCAACTTTGACTGACGTTCACATGGATACGAGTACTAAATTGGCCACATTTTCTTTAGAAGAGGAAGTCTTAACCGAGTATATCCCCAAACACGTCAAACTCTGTGGGCTATAACTTTAAGATTTTGGGTGCTTTATTTGCAATTGCTTAAATTGCTATTTCACTACGTCAAGATTATATCTTCATTTAAATTGCTTTTTAATTTATTTCCCCCGTTCACATCGTCTCCCGGCGCGTCCAATTCGAATCTGTTATATAAAAGGTAAAATATTTAAAATTAAAAACGCCATGGTGACGTTCATTTCGATTGAGTATAGTGAACCCAAAATATTAACATGGAACCTGCACCATAACTCACCATCATATTTAGCTATCCTCTTTTGTCTTAGAGAAAAATTAGCTCGCCTTGTACCTCTCCTCGACTCTCCAGTGAATTTTGCAGAACAATACAGTTCTCTAATTGTTGGTAGTTTTTCATTACCATGACTTTTCTCCGAAGCAACTACGTTTAAGCGAACCTTCTTTTAATATATCTGTTTTCCTTTTTGTGATAGCTTCATCGTGTCAAAAACAAATTAGATATGTGGGCTGTATTTTCATTTTATTAAACGCCAGAGTTATTGGCAATCTTGTTGCTGTCGTGCAATTGGCAAAACAAATAGCACGATTGTCTGGTTTTTAGAAAACGGAGCTAAACTGTCATGATCAGTGAGTGATACAAAGTTTATTAACCGAGTCTTGATCGATACATCTGTAGAACAAAGATTCAAATTGATGAAAAAAGGCTTTTTATTAATGTACTGCTAATCGTCTCATCCCAGCCAGGAAGTCTAAAACGCCAGAGTTATTGGCAATCTTGTTGCTGCCGTGCAATTGGCAAAACAAATAGCACGATTGTCTGGTTTTTAGAAAACGAGCTAAACTGTCATGATCAGTGAGCGATACAAAGTTTATTAACCGAGTCTTGATCGATACATCTGTAGAACAAAGATTCAAATTGATGAAAAAAGGCTTTTTATTAATGTACTGCTAATCGTCTCATCGCAGCCTGGAAGTCTTAACAGTTATACACATGTTCAAAAATGGGCTAAATTATGTCTGGGTCAGTTTGTACCATATACTTACGAGATGAGAATTAAAGAGGAAAAATGCTTTACGTTCGTTTTTGCTGCTACTATCTCTCTTTTTAAATCCAAAGTAAAGACGTTTCTTCTTAGTTGATTAACCATTTGTAAATAATACTTGTTTTTTGCTGCTTTTTCTCTGTTTTGTCCGGTTTGTTTTGCTTCCTTTTTATCCTATTAATTAAATTTAAGTATGACTTTGCCGCTTATTTATTCATTATATTTAGTCTTAGTTTAGGGAGGGAGCTCATATAATAAGTCCAAAGGTTTCCATTTGAACTTCCTCGCCAGAAAAATTTTGTTTAATTCTTTTCCTTACAATTTATGTCTCTTTAATCTTTAAATAACATTTTTGTATTGAATGTCTGTATGCATACTTATGTTGTGGTTCCATTTTATACTTGGTTTATGCCTTAAAGTTTATGCCAAAAGTGTCTACGGGCGCATGCGCAGTAGTCACAAAAAGAAGCGAATAAATTTTGCCAGTCCCCAGGGGCCCGTTTCTCGTAAGTCCCGGTAACTTTTCGGGCCCGAAAACAAATATTCAAATCGAAATGTAAAGAATAAGAGCGCCGGTCCTGGCTAGCAGACTACTCCATTCTGTTTCACTAACTGATAGTTTTATCTAGACTACGAGAAGTCCCCCATTTTTCCTCAGGGATAGTAGAGCGAGCGAAACGCGAGTGGGCGTGAAAATCACCCCTCGCGAGACGCGTTTTGCTCGCTCTACTATCCCTGAGGAAAAATGGGGGACTACTCGTAGTCTAAGTTTTATCGTGCTAGATGCAAAACTATTGAAACCTCGTTCTTTAATGTAAACGGAGACAGCTTACCTGGCCCGTTAATAATCGGGGCTTTCGAGAAACGGGCCCCTGGCCCTTTATTATATCGAGGTTCCACTGCAGAATGGTGATTTCGTGGCCGGTCTCTGTAACGGAAGCTAACGGAGCGAAGCTGCGCCGCGCCGATCTTAAAATGGTCAGGCTACAAGAGATCTGGGAACGAGATTTTTGCAAGGAATCCCATAATGCATTTCATTTTTTTTCTATCACGTCTAGTTGTCGTTTTGGGAAACATGTCGCTTACAAGGTAGATATCACTCTCACACTTTTCATTCCAGGAGAGTTATTTTTCAGCGTTTTTTTCCTAACAAAATTCTTCTTAACATTTTCAGTCTTCTTCCGGCACCATTGCATGTGGCTTATCGCGACAAGAATGAAGACGATGACTTAGAAAAAGCATACAAAGAGGTTTGTGATTCGTTGTCGGCCATGTTGACCCAATTCTTAGCTTTCTTGTTCACATCTTCAATGATCGATCGTAGACAGAGGTTTGTAAGAAGTAAATGCGTTTGATTTATTTGTAGTTAAAGGTTTCAGCTATTAAGAAACAGCCTCCGCCTTACGGACAAAGGCATGGATGGATACCAAGGAAGCTAGAGGTTTGTGTGCAATGCAACATAAAATAAGCTTAATCGATCGATGTTTTTCTCTTTTATTCGAACATGTGGATGTGTTATTAATGTGTTTGAATATGCGGGACTTCTTTATATTTAAGCCAGGAATGTTGGTATGGTGCGATCGTACAAAGTTTTGATCAAAATCTGTTTAGTTTCTTGGGTTTGTGGTTAGTTTGTTCCATGGTCAGATCGTGCTACATAAAGGCCAGATCATTCCACAGTATAGTCAGTTAGTTCCAAGTTTCTAATACTGTAAATGTGTGAAGAGTGATTGTAACTTCAGTGCAGTGTAAGACTGGGCAAGATTACAGAATACCCATCCACTTCAAGTATCCTCAAAAAGCTGCCACTGCCGTCCCACAGTACTCTATAATTTAAATATTTATTTTATGTAGCATTCAGCTTCAATCTTTAAGCAATAAAGCAAAAACAAGCACAGTATGTAATATACCTTGTTCTTTAATTTACAAATCCCAACTAAACCAGTTTAAAATAAAGCAGCCATTCTGGACTGTGGACCATGGTGGCAGTTCATTTGACTGTTTGTGTTTAACATTCTTATTCAGCTGACTACCGTATTTATTCGATTAACCGCCCTGGGCGCTTATTAAATTTTTGGACCTTGAGAGTGGGCGCTTATTCGAGGCTGGGCGCTTATTAAATTTTCACCATTTTCAGCAAGTGAAGTATGTCTATTTTGCAACAAAACAATAAATGCTAATAACAAAACGCGCAGAAGTAATAAAGCAAGGTTTCTATAAAATACTCTGAAGAAAACTCCGTCTCTTATTAGAATTTATTCACTCAAGTGAGTGGGGTAAGGGTGAGCGCTTATTTGAGTTTGATTGGGAGGAGGAGGGGGTGGGCGCTTATTCGAGGCTGGGCGCTTATTAACTTTTTCTGCCTTTAGGATGGGCGCTTATTCGAGGTGGGCGCTAATTCGAGGTTGGGCGCTTATTCGAATAAATACGTTATATTGTATATTGTGGAATGATGAGATTTGTTTTTGGAACAATCTGACCATACAGTGAATTGATATTGCTTAGAATGATTTGTCCATGAAATTAGATGGCCAGATACCATTTCTTGGAATGAAACATCACCATAGGTGTAAGGCCAGGACTGTTTATGTAGTGTAGGTCACTGCCATAATATTTTTCATGATTTTGTCACTTTTAAATTTTCACTACTAACCTCTGCTTAGGTCAGCCTCCAAGAGACAGTCTTCGCTGTTGAACAGATCAATACATGGGCTATTGAATGATGCCTCCCTCCAATAGAAGGATTTTAAATTCTACACACATTTGCCAAAAAAACTACAGTTGGTTCTCTTATCTTCTCTGGCCCAACCTATAATAAAAAATCCAGGGGACATAAACCCATATTATTATGCTTGTTTTCCCTTCCCATTCTCTGAAAAAGTAGTATTTGTTTCTGAAATTGCTTGCATTGTTTTGATCTTCAGGATTTTGGAGATGGTGGTGCTTTTCCTGAAATACATGTTGCTCAGTATCCTTTGATCTTGATTAACATACGTGTACAGTGGCACCCCGTTAATACCGTCACCAATGGGCCAAAAAAAAATCAGCCATATTATTATTATTATTACATGAAAATGAATGGCGGATTTTGCTAGGCGGGCATAAAAAAGTGGCTGTAATAACGAGGTGACTGTATTACCGAGGTAGTCCTAAGGTGGGGTTTCACTGTATTATTATTATTATTATTATTATTATTATTATTATTATTGTTATTATTATCATTATTATTATTATTATTATTATTATTATTAATTTTTAATTTTATCTTTTTTGAAACAAACCAAACAATCAGCCTTACAAGTTCTAATTTTAAAGTCATCGCTTGGAGTCTTGCAGTGGTGAAATGCTGCAAATGTAACAAGTTGTTTGCTAGTTTTAAGATGACACAATGTTTTGGACTCAAATATTTATTTACTGGCTTTAAAACTTGTATTGTTTCCACTTCATTTTACACTGTAAAAATCTACAGTCATTTTAGATTATTTTGCCAAGAAAATATAAGGTATTATTTTGATTTTTTATCAAATTGAAAGATTGCTGTCTTTTACCAGTGTAGTATGTTTCTCCCACAAGTTCAAAAGGTTTATCAAAACTAATTTATCTTACCTCAGTTAAATCATTTTATGCATGTATGTTGTTTTCAAAACTGAATTATCAATTAATTTTTCTATCTTTTGTTAATAAAAATAAAGCGATACAGCACAGGTACTGTAATATTATTTTTGCTAGCCGACATATACATAGAAGAAGTTAACATCTGTAACTGCAGATCTATCAAATTTGCACCTTCCTTGACAAAATTCCTTTAGATATCCTCTGGATATGGGGCGTGAAAAGAAGGTACATGTTGTACAGTCTATGTAATTTGATAAGTTCTCAGTTGTCTTCAGTCACATCTTAAATATATTGTTTGAGTGCCATTTCTCTATAATGTGAATTGAATATCATATTGATGCCTTTGTAAATCACAGTACTTTTTATTCATAAATCAGAGAAAGGACGTGCATTGTTTCATCACATGCTTTTTCACAAACAAGATGAAGAGGCTTATTTAATCTGTTTTCATTTTCAAAGCCTTCCTCCAGCACTAATGCACTGCCTGTTCAACTGGATTCTCAAGGCAGAGTGAAATATGACGCACTTGTTAGACAAGGTCACCGCAAAGATAAGGTACTGGGTGTAACTTTTAATAGACTATTTTTTTCCAATAGATTTATGATGTAGACTGATGGCCAAAATTTATGTGTATAATAACAAAGTTGTATGGGGCAAAAAATAACATTTAAATAGATTTTATCTGCTCCTTTAAATGTAGTACAAAACCTTTGCTTATTAGATTTAAGCTCAAATTAATAGTGATTGGTGAGGATACTACAGCAATTTAACTCAAAGGCTTGGCAGTCAGACATTTGATTGGACTTAGTTCTATAGGGCCTTCCAAAGCCACACACTGCTTTGATAAATATCATGCCACACAGGATTATTCATCAATGTATCGATACCACTGTATCATTAGTCAAGCTTGCTTTAGCAGTAAGACTCTGTGTGTGTGTGCACATCAAAGGGGGGGGTGCAGGGTGCAAAGAAAATCATTTTTACAGCTAGCCATTCAGGCAAGCTCAAGCTAGCGTTTACTAGCCCCAAAAGCTTTTTGACGAGCAGAATTGATTTCACAGTTCTTCCTTCATTCAGATTTCGCAAAAAACATCACTTGCCTGTCGGGCAAGTTAAAACAGAATTCGCTAGCCCGATAGCACAATCCACTAGCCCCAGGCTATCGGACACTGCTTTCTTTGCACACTGCGGGGGTGGGGGGGGGAATGATGGTCCCAGGCATTCCTAGCAGAGACCGTGGAAACTTGGGATGAAATAATATAATTTGCAACATGGCCTACAACATTATTCAAAAGATAGTGATCTTTTACGGGTTGGTCCAGAAAATTAATTCTATCGCTTGAAAGCGTTGATTACTTTGGAACACATGGATACTTCAGTGGTTGGAAAAAAGAAGAATCTTTATGAGCCAAACTTCAGCAAAGCTTCAATAGTGAGGCTAACTAGTCGGGTGTTATAAACTTTCATTGTATGCAAATGAGTCTTATGATAAGCATGCGTTTTTTTTTTGGCGATGATTGAAATGGCATGTCATGTTCATCATGTTTTTGCTGTTTGGTAATGATGTTATTTCTCTTGAATTGAAGCCCTTGATTTTCATATATTTATACACACGTGCTCAATCAATTCAGAAACAAATCGTCCAATATAATATAAAAGTAAATATCCTGAAGAATACTTGACCATCACTAAAGTACGATGTGAAAAACTTTTAGCGAGGAAATCCTGTTATGGGTAGAAACAATCGCCTCCTAATTTCTTACATCATGTATCTAATTTCCAAGTAACAAGCTCAACTGACTGCTTTTAAAGAGCATTCTTGTTTTAGCAAGAAGTCTGCATTAGTCCATAAAGTTTTACTTATTACATGTACATGTACCTCTTGGCAAGGCTGAGTCTGTGCAAGTTTTTCTTGCAGTGGCCTCTCATTTTTATCCCAGAATGCATAGTAGAGCCTCTAATGTTCTTACTACCTGTATGTTCTCTTAAAATGAAAACATAACGGTCAGTTTATAGCAGTACAGTGTTTGTTAATGACAGATGATGATTACTGCAAGTTGGATTTTTTGTTTGTGTTTGCTATTATAGGTTGTGCATTCAAGATTTCAGGACTTGGTTCCTGTTCATTTAAAAGATGAAGGTGATCCAGAGCTGGAACGACCAAGTGAAGAGGACATTGAGGAGGTACACTTACAGAGAACTTTTCCAAGAAAATTAATTATTGCAGTGTAGCTTCCAAAAACCTCAGTCTGCTGTAAAACTAAACATGTATGACAGCCTCACTTGCATCGACAAGGTCAAAAAGATACAGTTAAGAAGGAGAATCTGACATTGCCTTTCAATGATCTGTAGATCACGAGATATTATTTTGGCAATCATAAGGTCATTGATAATATCTTTTTCTTTGGCCTCTAGACAACTAGGAAAACAAGGGAAGCTTTAGAAAAGGAAGTCAATACAAAGATAGCAGCTGCACAGCCTACCCAAGTTGCACAGAAGCCTGGGGCAGCACAGTACATCCGCTACACACCTTCTCAACAGGGGGTATCATTTAACTCTGGAGCTAAACAGAGGGTGATACGCATGGTAGAAATGCAAAAGGATCCCATGGAACCACCTAGATTTAAGTAAGCTAAATATGTTTTGGAAGAGTTTTTAAAGGATAGAATTAACCCTTTCATTTTCAAAAGTGGCGATAGTCAAAATTCACTTCTAATTTTTTTGGTTGCAAACCGAGTAATGCCTTGTGAAAGTTCAGCCAAAGTGGTTCAATTTAAATGGTCAGACCACACAGTGTCTCACTGTGTCACATGTTACAAGTCTATATACACGTATTATTTTATGAACTCTTGGAGTACAAAAATTAACCCACTCATCTCATGTCCTTTTCAATGTACTTGTGTTTGTTCTATTACTGATATTAATGTTCATGTATTGTTGCTGTATTTGTAGGACAAACAAGAAGATTCCGCGAGGTCCCCCATCTCCCCCCGCACCAGTCATGCATTCGCCAAGTCGAAAGGTAAAACTGCTGACTTTGACATCTTGCTGCTCTTCAATTAAACCCTAATTCTTAAGTAAACTCAACCAATATTTTCTTTTTTATAAATTTACACTTAACTAAAGTGTAGCTCCCAAAAAATTGAAGTACCAGTTGTTTGAATAGAAAATGTAATAATTTCTGATGTTTTTGTCACTGTTTTCCGATCTTATTTGTGTTACCATATAAAAGTATTACAAGGGTTGATTTTAGGGTTAAATTTTATTGTAAGATCCGTAGCATAAGAACTGTTTTGAAGAGGCACGTGTATGAAAACAAAAACCAAAGGAATTTGTAATAATTGGTTGCTGAAAACGTTAGATATGGATAAATAATCATTTCTTTGTAATTCTTTCAGGTAACTGTGAAAGAACAGCAAGAGTGGAAAATCCCTCCCTGCATTTCCAACTGGAAAAATGCCAAGGTAAATTAATGAGAATTTGACTTTAAAATAAATCAATGCACTGCTGTCAATAATGATAGGTTTGTAGATTACACAAAGAGCTCCTTTTGTCATCAGATTTAAAATAATGGTAAGAAAAATAAGAGGCTCTACATGATTAGTTTATCAAGAAGCCTTAAAGTGAGTCCAGGTTACAGAATATGGAATTTGTTAGCACCATGCCAGTGAGGATCAATAGTTGTGCAATTTTGCATAATCAGATAGAATCAGAGCCCTCATTTAAAGTACCTAGTTGAAGCTCTTTAAGAGTTAGTACAACTGTAGTCTGTACATAACTCATTGCAGTTCTTGTCAAAACAAACAACAAAGGCTGGCTTTTAACGAGATAGCTTTTGCAATTTGGAAAATGTAGTATTCTTAGTCATTTCATTGGCAACAGGTGAGAAGGGGATCCAGAAAATTTCAGCAAGGGGTGGCCAGTGGCCAGAAAACTTGACAGCTAGATGTATATAGATACTATTTATTTTACGGAGAATTCTTTAGCAGTAATATGAAATTTCGCTGAAAGGGGGGCAGCCGAGGGTAGTCTTGACCCACCACTAAATCTGCCCATAGGTCACAATGTAAGTCATTTAGACTAATTATCCAAATGATCTCAGACAAAACAAGTTCAAATGATTTCAGTTACAATCACTTTAAAACTCTGAACATTTATTTTCATCTCGTCCACAGGGGTACACCATTCCTTTAGACAAACGCTTGGCAGCTGATGGACGTGGCCTCCAGGATCCACACATTAATGACAAGTTTGCAAAGCTAGCTGAAGCATTGTACATAGCGGACAGAAAGGTACAGTTTTTCATTTTTTGGCAGAATGAGGACTTGACTCACTCACCTTCTAACAGTCAATTCTTTGTTATATAAGTGTGTTGGAGTGTTTACCAGGTTTAAAACAAAAGAGCGCTACTGTAAAGTAGAGTATGTACTGCAAGGCCATTGTATGGCTTCAAAAGCTTTCCCATCTACAGTGGAAGTCAGAAGTCCTAGGACACTTAACACGATACGCCTTAAACTGCATCCCTCCACCCTCCCCCGCACCCCCAAGCAAATTTGAAGTTTATGCACCCGGTACACTTTACCCTATCCTAGAAAGTGTTTGTTTATCCCAACGTTGTTTGGACGGAGGAGGGGAGGGCCGTTAGAGGCATCCAAACTGTTGCAGGAGTGGATATTATGCTACATCTGTAGATTTGATATGTAAGCGCAGTTGAAAGATGGTTTTTAATGTTAATATTTTCTCAAGGAGTTTGGCCTTCATTGTAGATCGTTTTGTTTTTCTAAAAGTCGGTGTGCTTTTTAATATTATTTTTATGCAAAAGTCAGCTGTACTGCATGAGATTGTTCAGTCGCACAAAAAAATTTTAATCAGCTTCTAAAAAAAGCGTCATCGGTTAATTTCAACGGTACTTTCGTTACATGTAGGCTCGTGAAGCGGTGGAGATGAGAGCTCAGCTGGAAAAGAAGTTAGCGCAAAGAGAAAAGGAGAAGAAAGAACAGCGATTGGTGGAGTTGGCGCAGAAAGCTCGTGAGGAGCGAGCCGGTATTCGAGCTGCTGCTGGTAGGTGGAGCCGAGTAAATCACTACAGTCTTCGTTTACCTAGTCTGTTACACAGCCGTTTTTAGTGTCGTCACGCAACGCTCCTCCCCACTATTAGTGTGGAGGAGCATTGCGTGACGACACTAAAAACGACTGTGTAGCAGACTATCGTTTACCGTACTAGGAAAAAGTGTATTCAAGGTCTTTACAGCCGATGTTCTACTTAACAAATAGATTCCATGTTGCCGTGCGTCTGTGCAGTAATTTGGACACATTTTGACGTCTTCTGTGATCTGTTACTCAAAAGACCCACGGCAACATGAAATCTATTTCAGTGTCTTCAATGATCAGAAAAAAGGCCCATAAACTTACCTGCTTGACGCTTTCGAGGATTTGTGCCAGTTTAGGCATTTTTAGGTCCCAAACGCTACTTTTGTCTCTGCTTCTTCTTTTTTGTTTATCGTACTTGTAAATAGTTTCTTCCAAAAAATTTTCAACGTCTTCACTTGCTCAAAGCGGAATATTGGCGAAAACATTATTTTTGAAGAACAGCGAGTCTGTCGTAGTGATGACACACGATGGCAACTGTTGTGAAGTTTTCTTGCATTTTACAGACATGAGTTTGGGCATTCTCAAGATGTCAAGAACTCTTTTTGTCTCCGTTTGTCCATTTTTCGTCTTTGTGAATAGCTCCTGCTAAACTTTTTTCGAGGTTTTCACTTCCTTAATCCGAAATAATCTCACGAACATTTTCAAAACCGCGTTGAAGTCCGTGAAGTCCATGTATCTGTACTCCAATAGATCAAGGGCAACGACCAATCACTGCGCGCGTAGCTTTGACATCATTGTGTAAAGTAGACTAGTAAATTGGACGGTAAATATTTAGTCTGTGCTGAAGACCGGGTGCATGTAATTAAACGGGCAGTTTATTTTAAGTTTTTGGAGCCTCGGCCCTCCTTCTTTTCCCTTAACGTTGTATTAGTGTTGAAGTTTTGTTTTTCTTGTTGTCCGGTGTTTTATAAAGCACAATCAAACCGTTAAGCAGCCTGGATTTCCACTGTCGCATAATTTTTTGCGTGGCGTGCACACGTAAAGTTTACGCGCATTAATAAAATAGTAGCAATGTATGGAAGGTCACACGTAAAAGTGAACCTCGCTTAACTTTTAACGTTTACTCGCTGCCTTCCATTCATTGCCTCTATTTTGTTAATATGCGCCTAATATTAACGTGCGTTCGCACGTAAGGTTACGCGACAGTGGAAATCCAGCGTTACTGACAATTTTGTTTGGCAACACTCTGGTAGGGGGGCTTTAAATAAAAGTTGGCCAATAACCTTTGCATGTTGTCCTTCAGTGGCAATATGAAAAAACAATATGGAAGCTTTTGCCGATCAACAGTAACAACAGTGGAGGGCTTTATTGAAAGTTCAGTTAATCGTTACTTAGAAGCTGGTCGTTTGACTCGTTTACTTCCCGACTGAATGACGAAGTATAGATTGAGGCGCCGGGCTCTCACTTTTAATCCTTTGTTGTGATTATTCAAATGAAACCTCTTCAACAGTACTGTCACAACGTACTTTTTGATGTTTAGCATTTTAATTTGGAAATTTTGTTGAACTTTTACTTCGGTCACTTTTTGGATTAAAAGGGTTGCTTGAGAGTTTGAAATTACCAGTTTCATTACTTCATGAGTAACGTGGTCTAACTCGTTATTTAGACAGGCCAGAGGAAGAGAGAGAAAGAGACAAACTACGTCATGAGCGACATAAGGAGAGAGAACGAGATAGAAGAATATCGAAAGCTGCTCCTGATAAAAGGTGAGTTAAACTGTGAGCAGATTGTAACAATAGATCTTACATGATAAACACAGTGACCTTTATATAACGATCAAGGGGAATGGGGAAAAAAAACGAAGAAAATATTATACAAAGTTGCATCATGTCGAATTTTTACTACTGTTCCCTTCAACAGGTCTAAACTTCAGCGTGACAAGGAGCGTGACATTAGTGAACAGATTGCGTTAGGCCTAGCCTCAGCCCCTCCCTCTCAGGAAGCGTTGTATGATCAACGGTTATTCAATCAAAGCAAGGTAATTTACGTTTGTAACGTAACTCAGTCAGTACCTAATGGTGACCGATTTTGCATCCTTTGATGTAGTCATGGATATCCAGGTGGACTATGCAGTAAACCAACCACAATGTTATACTTTTCTCGTAATATTTACATGGGGAAACCGGAAATTTAAATGGTTTGAAAAATATGATAAAATAGTAATGGCTGTTTTCACAGTAGAAGACTGACAAATCGTTTGGATGGTCAAGTTCGTCTAATAGGGTCACAGTTTTGACCACTTATCCCCTCTAGTCGAAGAAACCGATCATTCTCAAAAATTGTCGTAATCGAAGGACAAAATCGTAAACTTTGACGTCCAAAATTGTCTACTCTCATGAAGCTCCTCGAAACCTTTAATTTCCCTCGTTCTTCCTGCAAAATTGTTGTGTTGTTTCAGGGCTAAGGTCTATTGTGCGAGAGCTTCCTTCCTCCCTCGCCCAAAAGCATTCGGCTTCCATTTGTGAATCAAAAACTGCTTCATAGTATTATTCACTTTTGGAGCGACCTGAAATGATCGTTTCGTCCGTTAGGGTCTGGATTCTGGTTATGGAGGAGATGATGACGTATACAATGTGTATGACAAGGCCTGGAGACGAGAGGGTAGCACAGCAAACGCTATCTACCGGCCAAGTAAGAATGTCGACAGAGACGTGTACGGAGATGATTTGGAGAAGCTGGTTCAAACCAACAGGTGAGTTGTCACGTGACCGCTACTGCACGTGCTTAGTAGGTGATAAAAAATACGGCAAGCATTTACTTTACACTGAATACCAAAAGAAAACTTGCTGAGGTCAATTTGGGTTTAAAGTTCCGGAGTGCCCTTAAAAACGGGAAAAGAAAACAGAAGTATCCCGCCAGAGGATATGGCGAAATATGTGTTGAAAATAATCTCTAGTCACCATCACGAGCGTATAGTTTTAAAAAGTACCTTTAGTTAGTTTCTTGAATAAGTGCCCGGAAGCTTATTTGAAATGACGGCTAAGATAGGGGCGGGGGGGACGCTTATTTGAAGGAGGGCGCTTAATCGAAGGGGGTGCTCATTAGAGAGCTTTAGATTTGAGAGCGAGTGCGAGTACGAGATTTCACTAACTTAAAGTTTTTGCGCGTGTTCTAAAAAAAGACACCACGGAAAACTTCATTTTTTTTTTACCAAAAAAGTTAGTACGGTTATTTATACTGAAGAAGGCTAAGCCCTCTCGCGGTAGTAAAATGATAAAACTGCTTACTTTTGATAACTTGTTCCTGCCACTACGACATTCTCGCTAACACGCGTAACAGAATGACGACGGCTATCACGTTTTCCCGCCAAAATGACGCTGATTAACGGGTGAGCAATACTCAGTATTGTGAAAATCTGGTACTCGTAGTCGTCCTCGTCTCGGAATCTAAAGCTCTCTATTAAGTTTTCCTTTCAAAGAAGTGTGACTTTGTGTCGGTAAATGTTTGATAGAAACGTAAAGTAGAAGTTAATAGTCTTTCGTTTGTTAAAACAGTAGTTGTAATCAAGTGTACCGTAGTCCCATTAAACACTTAACACAGATGTATCAGCATAGATGTTTATAAAAATTAAATATCGATTATCTCATCATCCTCGGGATCATCCTCGTCAGTGATATGCAGATCTTCGCGTTCCCCTTGTATCTGTACTATTTTAAAAAAATGAGGTGGGGTGGGGGCGCTTGTTTGATAGTAATATTGCCTAGGAGGTGGGTGCTTGTTCTGGGGAGGGCTCTAATTAGAGCACAGGCGCTTTTTCGAGGAAATACGATATCTGTTTACTGAAACTGTTCTGTCCCTAGGTTTCAACCTGACCAAGGGTTTGCTGGAACGGATCGTAGTCAGCGCCGTGATGGCCCAGTGCAGTTCGAGAAAGAAGAGGAAGATCCTTTCGGTCTTGATAAGTTTCTTACAGAAGCTAAAAAGGGCAAGAGACCTCTGGACGAACCTTCACGGTCAAGGTTAGTGTGCTCGTCACCAATTTCTGGTGATTTGTTGACTTCGTTTTTATTTTTAACCTGTAAATGTTTGGGAAAATACTCGTTTTCTTTTTGGCGCCAAAAAACGAGGTTCTAGTCCCTATGCCCCATTTGTAATTGTTCCGCCCCGCTTTTGGTCGGTTTTATGGCTTAAGGAACGAGTCATATTGTATTTGTAGCGTGCTTGTTTCGGGGTGCTCTTGTTACGTTCACCACCTCGCTACTAAAAAGTCATGTCCTCTAGCAGTGTTGAGTCGAACGACCCATCTCCATCTGATACGATCCCTCAAGATAATACATAGGAGCACGTAAGCGATCAAGACTTCCTGTCCGATCACGATAAGACTTCCGGTAATCGAGTTCACATCCGTTTCACATATCACGACCAGACTTTCTTTAGACGGGCCGACTTACATTTTAGACGACCGGACTCAGTTCGTGCGTATTGGACATGTGTGCCATTGCCGATGAAAAGAAAATGATGTAACCTGCGCTCTTGTTTGTGGCGCGGGAAAACATAAGCCAGCACCGAACGCGAAAACTGATGTGTAGCCAGTGAAAGGCACACGTTAAAATGGTTAAATGCAGGAAGCATAAATGTATAGTCAGTGCTAATGGCTGGGGAAAGGTAACTAGCGCCATGGGCCTCGCCGAAGACAGGAAGCAAACTATAACATGCAAGAATACATGTACCGGCAATGTTGCAAACTTTTGTTCAGCGCAGACACTTCTAGTTAAGTGCCAAGCGTGGGAACGCTATTCTAATACGTTTCCCTTTTTTTCTCTCTTCTTTTCTTTCGTAGGGATCACGACAGTCGTAGCTCGAAGAGAAAGCGGTAAAAATAGTCGCCAGGAAAAAGCATCAAATTTTATGTTGAACAAGGAAGCCAGAAAACTTGTTGGATAATATTACGGTTCCTTTAATATACTAAACCTTTCCTTTCTACAAACATGGAAATGGCCCTTTATTTGGTGAATCGTTGTGGGAACAAGACTTTAGTGCTGCTTCCCTGTGGACACTATTGAAGAAGAAAAGCTAACGTAAGAGTTGATTAGGGTGCTAAAGAGCGCATAAGTAGAAGTCAATTCGGCAAGTCTCATTCTTGTTACTAAAAATAGAACTTAAAGAAAAGCGCCAAACTATAGCCTCCATTTGAAGCACGGGCCGGTTCAGACTCGCGAATTCTCATAACTAGTCTAAGATTGAATTTCTCCATATTTTAATTGTTTTCAGTAGAGCTGAAACTCTAGATCGCATTTTCCGGCCATATGGGATTCATATGTGCTCAGTTTGTCACTAAAATCGCTAATAATTACTCACTTACTGTCACAACGTCTCACGCCTCACCACGTCACCTGTGCACTTGTTACTTAGCAACAGTCAGTCAGTCTTCGAATGTTAACGGCAGACCTTATGAGACTTACTGAAGCAGAAGTTTTCAGAAGTTGTCCTAGTGTGAAGATCTCTGTAAATTTCTTGAGCATTGAATAAACAGTGAAACTTTGTATTCTTAATTTTGAAGCTTTAAATAGTATAAATAGTATAAATCAACTCTACTCTAACAGTGACTTTTTGACTTGAAAATAAAGCCAGGATAACTTCGGCATGGCCATGGGTTAGAAAGGTTTTGTACGCCTGGGCCAGGGCGGATAGAAAGCAGAGGATTTTGGTATGGATTTTAAGTTGTCAATCTAGAATATATAGGGTAGCAATTTTGTCGTGTACCTGGTCTGCTATAGGCTAAGGGTTGCAGGGTCCGTCTAAAATCTCTTATGATACCCCCGGCCGGTTAATTTAAAGGCCTGACAGCTTCATGGAGGGTTTGACTTGAAATCCGGAGGTTATGCGTTGAAAGATTCTATCGGGCTGCAGTCCTCTACCGTTGTCAGTTTTGGTTCCAGGGTTAAGTTGTTGTCTTCGAGAGGTGTCCGCTTCACAGAGAGCCAAAGAAAACGACTGAAGAGACCAATTCTAGTTGTCCTACGTAGGGTGGTGTTCGTTAAGAGACCATTTACAACGCAGACTTTCTGAAGTTTTCACTCTTAGTAGTTTCAAGTTCATTCTTCGACTGTATGGCGTACCTGTTAAATGGCCAGCTATTCATCATACTAGGATTTTACGGAACTTTGTTATCTTCATTTGCCATCAGTCGCGTTTCTGATTATGCTAGAAGAGTGCCTCGCTTCGTCTAAGGATCTAGTTGTGCTGCTTTACAAAGGACGAGGTGAACAATGGGTACACAAATTATACTAGGGATTCAATTTTTTGCCACATACATAAGTTTTATTATTGTAGGCACAGTTTAAGTCATTCCAACCTCCGTCTGAAGAATAAAACTCCGTACAGTTTTCATCGCTTCCATAAGGTCCCATGTTATTTGGCTCACCATAATTCAATTTGTAAATGATTTGTACGTGCCATCAACCCATTCAAAGCGGTCATCTTCGCTGTATAAGTCGGCGAAACCAATCCATACAGAGGGCGAACCAGGCGGTACAAGTTTGCCCACAAAGTCGTTCTCCTCTGCACTGTGAATTGACGTTAAGTTGCTGTTGATTAGGGCGCAGGAGCTCTGTGCGTCAAACCAAGTTAGCTTTTTGGTGAAAACTTTGAAACATGAATTTTGAAAGCGAAGCCAGTCGGGGGTGAAGCAGATCGCTGTAGAAAAAAACTCAAATGGTAAAAGGTCAAAAGCTACTTTAAATATTGAGCAATACAAGGTACACTCAAGTAGGAATAATAAGAAGTACCAACTTACGACCACACACAGACATTCTGAGAAGTTGTTTATTATCAAAGACAAGCCCAAGCGAATGACAAGTTTTTTTTTTTCAGTTCCATTCGTCGGGTGATAAACCGAATATCACAATGGAAAATGAGTTTCGGAGTACCAGAGTGACGCTACGATTCGCCCCTGGGTCGGTACTCCTTTATGTGACCAATACAGGGATGTGCCGCTGGACAGGGCGGTTTATTTTCGTCCCTGTCCTAAACAGGGTATACAATTTTGCGCTCGTCTGTCCTAAAAAGGGAACACATTTTCGCACAAGTCTTCTCCTAAACAGTGTACATGACTCACGACCTCAGGACCTATCTTACGCTCTCACGAGTTGGCAAATGATTTCTCAAGCTTTCTCGAAAAGTCAAACTCTAAAAAAAATTTGGAGCTGTAGGGTTCGTTTCCAAGTTAGATATCAATAGATAGCCAGCTCAATCCAAAGAAAACGTTAAGCGGTCGCGTTTGATCATGATTACATTCTTGAGCCTACATGTATATACCGCGACTTGCCGCTGCCAACAAATGTGCAGACTTACTGTTTCTCTTGTTTCAAGATGGCTGCAACAATAAACATAGAAATCTCAAAACCTAGATCATAAAAATTGGTCGTGATGTTTACTGCTCAAGCTTTAAAGAGGTATGTGACTTCCAATACACATAATCCTCACTGTAACTCCTTCCACCAGGAAATTTGGGACATTTCACGACTTTTTACCCATTTCTCATGCACTACTTTTCCCAGCTCTCTCAGAATCTTGCATTTTTTTTGCCTTTGGGGGTTGGCAAATCGCCGGGGCGGAAGTCTGAAAAAGAAACGCTTGCATATTTAGGTCTCGCAGCTAGAGCAAGCGATACTAAACAGCACCGTTTGAAGCTTCAGCTTATGTAGCTTGCAACGGAATGAGAAAAGTGTGGACCTCAAAGCAGCCACTAGCAAAAAAGTTCAGACTTTTTAGAGCAAGTGTGGAGTCTGTCTTACTCTATGGAAGTGAAACGTGGACCTATCCTGAGTAACAGGCGTTTCTGGGGGAAAAGGCTTCCCTAGCCCCTTAGGAAGGCCTGATACTCAGGCTAACGTGGGCCGAGACCAAGAAGCTGGAGAAAAGTGTCGATTGATGCTACACCAGAATGCTGCGAACGGTCCTGAATGTGCACTGGTAACAACATATCAACAATCAGGAGCTATACGGGAGCCTCCCGTATAGCTAGCCTCCCGTATAACAATCCATGCAAGAAGATTAAGATTAGCTGGCCATTGTGCTCCTCATAATGAAGAGACCGCTTCAAAAACCCCCAATATGTTCACCCAAATCGAGGTGGCCAAGTGCTACATACATTGACACCATAAAGGCTGACACTGGACTGGGCAATACCAAAGAGATAAGATCAGGTCGTGTGGAAAGATTTTTATATTAGGACGACTCGGGATGATCACCCGACCTAAGTAAGTAAGTAAGTTGATTGTTGTTTTTCTCAGTCATTTCCACTCAATACATTATCTGATTTTACGGTAACACTCACTTAAATTGACAAAGAACGAAAAGAGAAGGAAACTTAAATCTAGTGCTGTACCAGTTTCACAGAGGTTCCCTGTAGCATACGCACCGCATTCACACGTGAAACGTTTGCCCATGATGTCACAGGTCTCGTGACACGTTCCTCCATTGAGGCAGGGACTGTCCTCGCAACAGCCATTTTCACATCGAACCACAGGAACATTGCCCTTAAAAAGAAAATAATAACTTGAGAATTTGACAGAGAAACTGCGTTTTGTTACTTCCACCATTAATTTTGACCCTATTTTCGGCAGCTTCCGCTTTTCGCATGCCCTTAAATGCATCGATCGTTTGTATCAAGCGCCTAACTTGAATAAAGATTTTCGGTTGGAAAAGTTGCAATTGTACAGATTTCGACGTTAGACAGATTGCTGACATTAGATTTACTGTATCATTAGCGTGCGTGCATGCACCTCCTACTTCCTTTGTTGTAGCCCCTTTTTCCGCTCGCTGCAAAGATAGGAGAGTGACGTCTGCACCTGGGCTACAGTATCTTCAGCCTCTCGTTTAATCGTAACCACACAATTTCGTTACTTATTTCCTCTGACTTAGAGCTAGATACCACCAGTTTGGTGCAGTAAGCCTATTTAGGAAAAATCATTATCAACATTCGACAGTTTGAAAAATTGACCACCTAAAGACGTACAGTAATTCTTTTCGTTCTTACCTGTACGTTGTAGTCGATAACCAGATCGTAGTATTGCCATCCCTCCGCAAATCCTAAGGCACTGGCGTTAGTATATCGGCTTTCCTCGTTCAATTGGCACAGGTTTTGCGTCTGTTTATAGTTGAACGAGATACACCGACATTCCAGCCGACAGGCTCTAAAGCAATCAATTGGTTCTGGAACACTGAAGCTAGTAATGCCATTACCTCTAAGAGCGTAGTTATCAACCACATTTTTTCCATCGGTAAAATAGAATGCCCCAGTAAAACAGTTTCCCTTGGCGCTTGCCGCGCGCAGGATCTCCAACGTGAAATGTATGACTTGTAAAGCCAGTTGGTGGATATACCCCTTCATTTGGAAAAAAATTCTGCTACATGATCGTCATTTTTAGCTCCTTATGCGGTCTATTGGGTAAAAGAAAAGAAAAAATGCAGATGTTGATGCTGAAGGATCTATTGCATGAGGAGTGATTGAGGAAAACTAGACAACGACATCTACTGTTTTATCGGAGGAGAACGGAGAGAAATGAGTTCTGGTCAAAATACCGGGCTGTTTATTGAGGGTCTTTGAGACTCCTTTAAACTGAAAACATGTCAATCCATTGTCTTTCTACTAGAAAGTTATGTCCAGAAATAAATTTGAAGCCTTTAATTACCGTTGCGCTGTTTCCTTAGACGAGAACTCTGCTCTACTTTGTCTGTGTCCCCCCAGGAGTATAAAGGGGTACTTACATACTGGTGGGCTATCCAGCGGGGGTTGGGGGGGAGGGGGGTAAGGGAAGTATTTATGCCAAGGTGTTTTATGTTAGGGAAACCGGGTTGACCTAGACGCGCTTTTATCTTAGTTACACACTTCAATGACGCTATATCGAACATCCATGTCCACGATTACTAGGTGGAAGGATATTGGTATTCATCATATCGTCAAATAACCATATAATTTAAGAAGACTTTTACAACAGTTAATTTTGTGGTGTTTCTTTTTTCTCAGCCAGAACACGGCATGTTTCCACACTGAAGTTATTGAAAATTTATTTGATATACGCAAAGTCATCTCCTTTGTTAAAAGCTTAAAAAATAGTTCGTTTGTGAATAAAATTGACGAAAGATTCTTAATTACCTAAAGCTGCCTGCTTTAAGCAGCTGACGATAATGGGATTACTTCCTTTTAGCACGTCAAGTCACGGCTAAACTATGATTTTCTGTTAATCAACTTCAGCCTCAAAACGGGCCGGGGAGAATAAGAAATGGTAAATTATTTAAATAACACTTTGTTGCTGTCTAGTACCAATTATGAGGTGTTTCGTAGACTTACCAGTAAAGGTATAAGCAAAATCGCTGAGTAAATGCTGCAGTGGAGAATCTTGGATTTAATTTCTTTTAGGCACAAAATTTAGTTTCGTCAAGGGACTTGGAGATTTTTTTACGCCCCATTAATGCACAATTCTTACGAAAACACGAAATCAGTCATGCAAATAAAACAGAGGCAAACTTTTTGTCATCTTAAATTATAGCTGCCAAAAATGAGTCAGTATTCTAAGGAGATAGACTGTAAACGACCTTCGCTCCTGCAAATATATCTAACAGTAAGACCTGTTCATCAGTACATGCCTAAAATGCATAAAATTCCGACAACTAACTAAAAACTATGTGCTTTTTGTGTCACATTCATTAAACTTAAAAAAATTTAAACACCACGGGTATACGATACACTGACGATACGCGATACCCACCTGCAATAGGACCATCTTGACCAGAGGCGAGCACTTACTAAGGAGAAAAGAACCTTTCAACCGGTAACGTTAATTCCAACGAAGGGCAGGCAAAAGTATTTCCTTGATTCTTTCATATGTTCTTCAGGTGCAGGTGTTCTTATTTAGCCTAGTGATAGACCTTTTTAGCTTGTATGTTTTGTTTTTCATTTCAGACCCCGCGATGGTACCCTAGAGAAATGTTTCTTTCAAACTTCGTCCTCGTGGATGCACATGCTGATATGAATGCATTATTTAAAGACAAATTCTTCTAGAAAATATTTCGTGGTCTGAATTGGGAAAAAAAACATTCGAGTTAAAAAGGCATATTTGGTGGCTAGTAATATAAAATAGGTGCGGTGTCACTAGACCTTTCTACCTTTTCTAGCCCTTGTCTTCCTAGGTTTTATTTTGCTGACTTCCTGGTTTCCTTTGTTTTACGTCACTCGTGAGTTTTACAGGTTCTTACACCGAAGATGAGCCTATTTTTCGTCCAAATTATTCTGCGAAAAATGAGCTATTGTTTTGTTTTGCCACTATCTAGCTCTAGTTGTCACTTGGCCATGGCAATTCATGTAGTCCGCTTCCTGTCATAGTCTCGACTATGGCTGTTTTTTTTTTTCCCTAATCATTAATTTAAGGAGTCAGTCCCGGAAGTCAGTCGCAAAGTAGCTGGAGCGCCTACTCTCTGAACTTAAATTCTGCGGTAACTTCTTTCTTTTTTTTCTTAAGGGGTGAGAGGTGGGGGAAGCCATTTTCAGTTATGGACTGAGAAAATGCTAGTTCTTTTGTATATTCAAACAATGATTGCATCAATTTGTTAATAAGAGCTTAGTCTAATAGGATTTTGGGCCAACAACTTGCCCCCATTCATACGTCACCTTCAGGTATTCCCCTATTAGCCAATACTCTCACCCAATAATAGTGGGGTTATATGAGATTTCATGTTGGGGAGACTAGATGAAGAAGGTACATACCCCATAGGTTTTTCGTGAGTTGTGATTTTTCTCCTTGAAAAAAGAAAATAATGGTGATTATCATTAATCAGTTTTTATTTATTCGTGTTATTGCCCGGTAAACCGTTGGCCAGCCAGACACGCGGCCAGCGGATTCTCAAGTTATGGTAGGTACTTGATATATGTCTACATGTATAGTACTTACCACATTGATTCTTAGTCCCTCTCGGGCAAGGGTGAAATTGAACGCAAAGGCGGGCAAAGTCCAAGGAAAAGTGTTTATACTAAAGAACAATGCACGTTATAGAAGTTTCACTGCATAACTAAATGAAAGCGACCATGGAGTTTAGGACTATATTCATGTTTCTTCCAGTTTTACCGATGATATCTCTTCAGGATGGGGATCTACGTGCTCCATGTCCAGTATTTACGGAAAATTCTGTCTTTGTTAATGCTACATCGGGGAATGACTCTCGAAATTGTGGATCGATAGAAAGTCCTTGTAAGACAATATCGTACGCTGTAAACCAGAAATTGGAATACAGCTCGGTTCTAATCAATATTTCATGGGGTGTTTACAAGGAGGAACGCAGCATTAAACTGGACTGTGGCAGATCGAAGTTGCAGAGGATTTGTGTTTGGGGACAAAGGTATAAAACTTAAGCTTAATGTCACGGCTAATGTGTTTATAAGCAAGTACATAGATGTCATTCTTTAACTTAAAGTAGAACACTCACTGCAAACCTGTCTATAAAAGAATGATGTACTTTAAAGTTACATTATTACTCATTGATAGCTGCCCCAGGTGCACCTCGTTGTAGGCATTACAGTTAGCCCTTCTCCACCGCCCCTAGGCGTATTTTGTCTCACACTGGATCTACAAAATTACATTAGTTAGTCTTGGTTTCTTGTGTAGCCCTCACCACTGTAATTAAACGAGGCAAATACTCAATTCCTAGAAAAATTGCTGGGACCCTTGTTTAAAAATCTGAGGCCTTTCAGAAAAAAGTTCCAAACTCCAAAACTGAAAGAAACACATGAAAGCAAGACTCTAATGCTTATTAAAAATCCTCTCAAGATTCTGAGATCAGATTAAGAATATTATTGATGTTCTTAGGTCCCCAAATATACATCTGCATGGTGTACCAATGTTATTATCACCCCTAGCTGCATATGTTAGTTTTTCTAGTGGAGCTTTGTTTAGTTTCTATTACACTTATCAGGGCTGCAAATAACACTCAAATATCAGTCCTTGTCCCTCTAAATATTGGCTTGTGTCCAACAAAATTTTAACTGGAGCCGGACATTATGTCTGGTCAAAGATAATACCAAAGATCAGACTAACATTTCGCAAATGGACAAACTCTACCTTGAACACATGTACATTGTCTTATCATTATATGCAAACAATTCTTCCTTTTCATTGGCCAAGAGCCTCTTACGTGACCTGCAAATAACTGCGTACAAAGAATGGTCTGCTCATGTGCAATGTCATTCAACTTTGTTCGGCTGCAAGTAATATTCTGCTCATGCGTAAATTAAACCATGCTTTTTTCCTTCTTGCTATTGCTCTTGCGTGAAAATGGCACAATGGCAGACATTCATTAAAAAACAAATTTGGTGACCAAAATAAAACAAACTATCATGACTTTTCAGTGTCTCGCAGATCAATATTATTTGTCTCAGCCTTCAAGTTTTGGCAAATAATAATTGATCTGCTCCCCACTGGTAAATCACAATATTTTGCTCAACCTGGTCCAGTAATTGTTAATTATCAGTGAGAATGTTTTACATTATTGCCACAATATTTTTATGAGGTCCTGTTATAGCTTCCCAAACAGGCATTCCTAGAGATTCGTCAGGCGTTCCTGCCCATGGGGCAGGAACACGTGACCAACCCCTAAGAATGTCTGCGTGGGAGGCTAGCCCTGTTAGAGTAAAATTCCAACAAGTGAGAATGGCCTTGAAACAGTGACATAAGACAGATGAAATGGCGACAAAACGACGTGAGGATGGGTTGAAACTGCGACAGCAACAAGAAGAATAGCAAATTTATACAATTTATTAGTAAAATTCTGACAGCAACATGGCCTCCTCCTCAATACATGAAAACAAATGGTTTTGAAATTCAGACTGGGGACATACGTGCTCTGCTTGTGAGGGCCTCAATTATGTGGCTTTAATCATTCTCCTGCATATTCTGTGTCTGCCTACATTGTACATGTTTCCTTTAAAATTATGTGCAAATGCATTATTCATTGAGTTCAACCACTTTAATTAGGTTCTGTTAATATTTTTCAATAGGCAAGGTGAAAACATTGTGCAAGTTGATGTCTCTTTTGATGTGCAGTTGTGTGAAATGAGCATTATTGACCTTCATTGGAAAAAGGGGAGCCCTGTGTTACATAAAGCTTTGTTATCTAATTTAACCATCTGTCAAAGCACCATGGACCAAACTGATGTCAGTATCCTTGGAAGCTCATCAAATATTGTTCTTCAAGACAGTAGCATTGCAAACAGTTCTGGTTATAAACAAAAGCTGCCTATTCTTTCAGTGAACTCTTTTCCAGGTTATCATACTCACTTGCAAATCAAGTATTGCAATTTTTCAGCTAATAATGGATCCGTCATCTTCATAGCAAACTTGCAAGCTTCTATTATCAATTCACACTTTGAAGGAAACAAAGAATTTTCTCCTGGGAGAAAAATTATCACCTCACAGTTTTCACATCTCATTGTGTCCACCTCAAGATTTATTTCAAATTCTGGCACTCTACTGGGAATCAAAAGTTCTGGCAGTTTAAATCTCAGTGAAAGTTTATTTGTCAGAAATAAAGGGCTTATTGGTTCAGTTATTGTGATGGAAGGAGTATCGAGGAGTGTTGTTAAAGATTGTGTCTTTCAAGATTCCAGCAGTTCTAAAGAAGGTCCTGTTATGAGAATCAAGGATAGCAACTCCTCAGCTAGCTTAGAGGTCAGTGATTTGGATGCAGTGACTTGGCAGGTTTAAAGTACAGGTCTCTGCTCAAGCATATTCTGCTAGATCTAAGACAGCATTATGTTATGGATAATGAGTGTGGCTAGAGGACACTTTTTGCTCTGTTCATTTATCTTAAGCTTAATCTACTGTACTTTGACTGAGACATGTGGTCTGTATTTTAGACCTGCTGGCTGTCAAGTATAATAATAAACAACTATTTAGGGCCTGTTTACATGGAGTGGGGGACCCCGGTCTAGTGGGGTAAGTTTCTTTTGTTTTGTGCCCTCCAGAGCGTGAAAACAAAAGAAACCAACCCCACTAGACCGGGGTCCCCCACTCCATGTAAACAGGCCGTTAGTGCTGGGTAACCAGAATATAAAAAGATAATTAACTGCTAAAGAGATTTTATTTGAATTTTAGGTGACAGTAAGATGGAATCAGTTGCCACTTATAGATGGATTAATAAATTATTAATAATTCTCCCCTCCCCCCCCCACCCCCTTTTTTGTGTGAGAACAATTTTTACATTTTATCATTTTATTCTTTCTGTCTTGTCAACAGAATTGTGATTTTAGTTGTAATGCAGTTCACAGCAATGTATTTCTGCCTCCTGTTTTGTCACCTGGAGTGGATCAAGTGACTTGTGATAATTGCAGTGTGGACCGTAACTGTCCAGGTAATTTAACAAACTAGTGATAAGCAAAGGTTACAGAGTGCAGGCAAGAATGATCGAAGGTCAAAATGTTTTTGCTCTCACGCTGTGCTTTGCATAAGTTTCACATGACAGATGGTCAAAACACGTGCGATCAGATTACGAGTGGTTGGAGGTCCAAACACGCGTGATCAAACTGGATTATGTGTATTCCATTCATTCTTAGTGGAATTCCAAACAAATGCTGGCTACATACATGCGATGCATGCATAATAACTTGGAGATTAGGATTGCGGGCTCCTCTTGTCGCTGTGCAATAAGCAAATGGAATTTGAGTCTGAACTTGAATGTGAAAATAAAAGTAACAAGAGCCTCTTTTGTTTGGAGCAACTGGAAACAATGAACCGTTATGTACAATATCTTATCTATCTGTAAATAATTTGAATAATGATGATAATAGAATAAATATTAATAATAACCAGTCATTGTGGGAGCTCTGGGGGTGATACAAAAGAACCTAATTTGGCTAAAGGATCACTTGAGAGGTCTAGGGTCAGAACTTTGCAAACATTTCTGCTTCTTGGAACAGCCATCATCTGGGAAAGGTCTTTGAAGTCTTTCTAAGGTCCAGGCTAAAAGTTTGTTTCTTGGACAATGAACATCTGTAAAATTACTAAGAGATATATTATGACAATAATTATTTGACTACAAAACTCTTGTGTCTTGTGTAGTGTTTTTTCCACTGGCTGTCCTTTCTTCCCTTGTCTAGTACATTGTGCCCCAGGGGAATTCCTCGAAAGTAACATTCTGTGCAAGCCATGTCCTGTTGGAAGTTACAGCCCTGGTGTTGTCATGAACAAAACTGTGGAGAAATGTGCCAGGTTAGCTATGCAATTTATAATTTTTTGCCTCATGATAATGAAGCGTACAATATGGGTGAACTCTCAGGTTCATGCCACTGAAAGAGAGAGAATCATTTATTGAACAGTAAAGTCTCCAGCGGAGATTAATAGGATGTGTGGTATTATTATACAACTAATCATAACTATAACAAAATTCTCAAAGCTGATTGGCTATCAACTGTCCTGATTTCAGCACTAATAGGACAGTGTAATAGGACAGTACATCATGCACGCGCCCACGTAAATAGCTTTTTCCACCGCTAGCAAAAAAACTCTTGGACTTTCTTGTGTTGTAAGTTTAAAAAAATCCTTTAGTTATAGTTATGATTAATTGGTAACAGAACTTCGTGTCATCCAATTCGGTCTGTAATCACGCTTGTGATTAAATGAATCGGACTCCTGCTTTGCGGACATCCGATTTTCTCAATCACTTGTATGATTACAGACTGAATGGGACTCCACTCAGTCCTATTACCATTGCGGTTAAATGGTGCAATTAGAGCTAAAAATATCATGGAGAAATAGTTGGTATACTGTAGTAGTGGTGTGCCAATCATTGATTATAATCAATCATTGATTGAAGTAGTAGCTGGCCGTAAAATACATTTTTAGGTCTACTTACTGCAATCAGAAAGGTTACAAGAGTGGATCAAAATGACAAACAGATATAAACAGCTTGCGAAGATCAAAGTGAAACTCAAGTTGGTTCCCAGGGTTCTCTCCTCGCTGTCTTGTTTTCATGTTGTCCACAACAAACGTGGCAACTGAGTTTTTTATCAATAGATTTTCCGATTATAATCGATGTCAAATTGGTTGGGTCAATCTGATTATTTCCGATGATCGATGATAAAATCTCAGCCAATTCCCATCACTGTACTGTAGCTAACACTTATAAGGTGCCCCAGTAAAGGGCCCATCTACCTGTAAACAAAAGAATACATCCGATTGTAAGCCTCCCCCCTGGATATAAGCCCCCTTGGGTATAAGGCCCCCTTAACTTGCTGTCATTAAGAGCCTGGGGTCAGGGAATTCCCCTGGCTACTATGAATGTGGTCCCCGGCTACTTTCATTAGAAAAAGAAGACAAATCGATCCAAAAGGAATCCCTAGCTGTTTGATTCCGCGCCTACTTGTTGTATTTACCTCCCAGTAACTTGAAATCTTACTGACAACCCTGTATAAGGCTCCTCGGATGCAAATCCCTTGGTTTAAAAGCCCTCTTGAAATCCCTACTGAGATGTATAAGGGGCAGTTTACAGGTTTAGTTATTGTTATGTATTTTGTTTCGTTTTGCTCTTATTCATAGCTGTCCGGCTGGTACTTATGGCTCAAAAGAGAGGGCTAAAACATGTACGTTGTGTGGGAAGGATACATTCTCTTCAAAGGACAGGTGAGTTTTCATCACATCGTTAACAGAGTGATTCCCTTACAGGGAACAGTTACCCAGGCTTTAAGAGATCAACTCTTGAGTTACAGCAGAAGTGGAGTTATATGCTTCTGGTTACAAATGTGCCAATGAAACAGCAATTGAAGGTTCAGAAAAAGTGTTATAACAAAGGGAGTAAAGTGGCACAATGGGCAACCCATCAGTGCCAATAAAAATTAAATAAATAAGTAATTATTTTGATAACAATAATAAAAATTCGTGTATTTACCCTCAGCAGTATTTATAGCACTAATACTAGTGGGGCCTAGCAAATCCCTGAAACAAATAAATTAAATCAAACATAAACAAGTTAAGAATCCAGCTGGCCTGAGGCGAACCAGTTAGCTATTTACAGGCATGGTCAAGGATTTGAACTCGGGACTTAACTGAGAAAAAAAAACCAGCTAGCAGTCAGGGTGGGACTTGAACTCGGAGCCTTTCGAATTACAAGTCCTGCGCTCTAACTGCTTGGCCACACTGCCTCCACACAAAACGTGTTACAATTAGTGTAGCCGTAGATGTAGATGTCAAAGGTGTAGTGATTACATCAGTTTGACTGTACATCATGATCCTTGGCTTTTAACTGGCCCTTACTGACAGGCCGAGGCGTTTGTGGCTGCTGCCATTGTAGAAAGGTGGCCATTACAGAGAGATTAAGACCATGGGGGTGGAATGGGGGGTTGGGGGAAGGTGCCACTCAACTTCCCAGTTTAAGGGCCTGTTTACGTGGAGGTGGGGGACCCCAGGTAGCTGAGGTAACCCGCCTGTCCATATAATATAATCTCTCACGTTAATGTGATCGCATTTACATGATAGGTGGGGTGACCCGCCACATGTTACCTCACCTATCTGGTGTCCCCCGTCCTCCATGTAAACAGGCCCTAAGACAATAGGCCTCTTTTGATGACCTTGTTGATTCATTTCATTTTGCGTAAAGAATTAAAGAACAGTTGAAATTGCAACCATGGAACAAGATTTTGGGGAAAATACTATTGTTACCATAAATGTGTTTAACAGTTGTAACTGTTTTGTGCCTGTTTCAGGTCAACTTTTTGTGGCAAATGTAAAAATGATTGCTTCACGTCTGGACGAGGTCAAGCATCGTGCTCCAAATGTGAGTAAGACTCGCTTGTTCATAGTGGAGCAATTTTATTTCCCAGTTTGAATAAACTTCTTTTTGTCATTGGGGGCAATGGCATTGTATTCGGTTTGTACGCTGTCTTGACTTCAGGGGCCTGGGGCCCTTCTCTCGAAAGGCCCGGTAACTTTTCGGGTCCGAAGGCAAATTTTAAAGTCAAAACCTAGCTAAACCTGTTGAATATTAGCACGGTTCCAAGCTCACAAACTGAATGTCTCCTTGTCTTTCCTGGCCGGTTAAAGTCGCATTTTGTCGAGTTTTGCACTCTGGATAGTACCTACGAGTTCAAAACTCGACAAAATGCTACTTTGACCGGCCAGGAAAGACAAGGAGACGTTCAGTTAAAGGTATGTTAGCTTTGCGTTGTTATATTTTGACTTCTAGACTGTTTTATTTCATGGGAGATTCGACGACTCATCCCATTTTGTCCATGTTATTGACTGAAAATCTGATTGTGAGCTCCCTCACTTAAAAGTGATTATTTTAACTCACTTACTTTGTGAAATGTAGACGAACTCTCTTGGAGTTGAATTCCTCAGAAGAATATCCAACTTGAGAAAGAAAGAGAAAATTTCGTCGTCCCTGAAAATAGGTATTTGCGCGTCCTGTCGAGCAGTTATGGCAAAGAAGTGTACAAAAAAGCGTGATGCACGTGCAAAGTTGTTGTCAACTTTGCACGTGCATCACGCGCATCCGTAACTGCACGACTACTACTTGTAAATACCGATTTTCAGTGTTTTCGTCGTTGTCGTCGGATCTTAAGGTTGTTTCCTCTACTTGAAGATGGCGACAATCACATGAGCCTCGAGTAAAGAAGTGTCGTGGTAGGAGTCAAACTTGCGACGGCGTTGGACCGAGAGAACGTCACCAACTCAACTGCGCCACCAATCGTTTCGATACAAAAGGCTTCATTATTCATTCAAAATGTTATTTTGCTCGGTTCCTGATTGGCTTAAATCCTCTCGCTGATGTTTTATAACGAGCTAGCGCTGTCTACAAGAACCCGTTTACAGGGTACCGGACAAATTTTTAAACCGGCGAATTTTTTTCGTGTGCAACCCGTTTACACAGAACCGTGCAAATTCTGTTACAGATTGCAGTACATGTAGAGCGATTTTCGTATGACCTTGAAAAATGGTTTCGGTAAGTGTTCGTTATTCGTTTTATCAGCCAATGGATGAAAAGATCAAGACAAGGCATCTTCGTTTTCCCGCCAAAAAAAAACCCTAATATGGAGAAGGCACTGTTCGATTGGCCATTCGTGTTGCAGTATGACGTCAAAGCGAAGTTTCGATTGATTTCTAGGAGGTTCTCGGGCATGAAGTTTTTTCAGCCGAGCGTTCGCTTAACCAACCAATAGCCAAGCGCGTTTGTATCCGTTCGATAAACCGATCAAATTGCTCTATTTCCGTTCGTTTGTTGTTTCTGTTTCGTTCGCGCCTTTTCATGTCACGATCATACAAAAATCGCTCTATTGTTTGCCGTTCAAAAGCTTGTACGGTTCCGCAGTTCCCGTGTCAACGATGCGCGGATCCGTGCAAGTGTTTGCCCGTTTAAAAATTTTGCCGGACCTTATAAACGGGGTCTAAATTTGGAGGTTTTCTTTTTTCACTAGTTCAATGATTTTTGCAGCTTCTCTTTAGGTTTTCTATTGTGTGGAATATCTTTTATTATTAGACGAATGACGTCATTGTCCATTTTCAGAGCCTCCTCCTCTACATAATGAGCGCTTACCATTTGCACGGAAATTTCTGTGGAAAATTTCTGTCAAATGGTTCTGGTAGTTTTTTTTTCTGGCACCGAAAACAGGAAGGGGTTTGGGTTGCCGCCATTTACAAAATACCGGTAAAGTTTTCACTTTTTTTGACATGAAGCCTGGCACTAGTAATCCAAACAAATGGTACAGAAAATTTCGGTCGTTTCGGTAAAGTTGGAAAAAGGTAATACCTCGAAAGGTCTTACTTTTTTACGGAAAATTCCCTCCGGGACGAACCGTTCCATTTGAATTCTCCCTGGAATTTCCGGGTTTTCCATACAAATGGTAAGCGCTCAATGCTTGCTTTCGTTCTTAGCGTCATTCAGTTATTAGGGCCATTTATACGAGACATACGAGGAAAAATAAGTAAGACGCGAACTGTACCATTTATACGAACATGTCTTATCTAATAAGACGCGTCTTAGCTAAGCCGCGTCTTATTTTAGACGAAATGTGCCGTTTATACGGAAAGTTCGCGTCCTATTTAAGATGCGTCTTATGTAAGACGCGTCTTATTTTTCCTCGTATAAATGGCCCTATTGTTTTCCTTATACCCTAGCCCTAATCCCAAACCATGTTTCCAAGGTTCTTTGGATTTTTATTTTAAAATATCATTTTGGGGACCCCGATAGTTCTATATTACTGTTTGTTTCTAAGACAACCAAATTGATGTCTTGGAAGGCACATTTACATCCGACGATTTCTCGTTGCTTTTCAGCCTACAGTCAATAATAAGAGAGAAATTTTGGAATTGGCAACAAATTTCTCAGAAATGTGCTTAGTATCGGTCTTTGATTTTATTTTTCAGTGACCGTTGGATTTATCACCCTCATAGTGTTGGTGGGCCTGTTAATTACTGTTCCTCTCGTAATACTGCTGCTTCGTGGGCCACAGGCTAACCCGGAATTCAACAATTATTCTATTTGCTTTCGACGGGAGGATCGGTCGCGACTGTTGGGAAAACGAAACAAGAGGAACTTCTCTATACAGGAAGGAGACGAGGACAGTGTTTCGGGATTGTTAACTTGAGTGTACTCCCAGAATGAGCCACTGAGTTCTCAAGGTGTATCGTAGGAAACAATGACATGAGAATTATGTGCATGTGTTTGCGTGTGTAAACTACGTGAGAATTATAGAGATACACTTCCTCAGGCACAAAATACCTCCGAGAATGAACAAGAAAATAGAAAGGTCTTAGTTTCAAAGTTGAAGGATTTTGAGCGACTTTTTTTGGAAATAACCTAATAGGGATTGAAAACGAAATCGAACGTTTCAAATCACTTTCTTACTTATCTTTAAGCAAAGACACTGTTTAATAGTTTAGTTGAATATTCCTTAGAGGAATCCCATATGAAAGAGACGGGGATGCTCTGTCAAAAAATTTAGTTTATTCTCTCTTGTTTGCACTCCTAAAGTCTTGGCCCAGACTTGATCACCCCTCCCTCCCCCTCCCCTTTCCATTACCACCACCACTACCACTACCAAGTGGGAGCTATTATGATTATGATTGCATGCACTTAAGATGTTGACACGTCGTTGTCTCCACCAAGCGATAACTGTATGGGTAAAACTATTGGTTTTCCCTCCTAAACACTCAAAGCGAGGCCAAAATGTGCAATCAACACCCTTGAGCGAGATCCTTGCATACTGGACTTCCGCCCTCAGGAGTATTTGCTTTCTACGCAATATCAAACCCCTTCTAGAGGACCGGGACTTGGGGTGAGAGTGGGAAGGTTTAAAGGGGCCAGTACTAAAATTCACTCAGGTTGTAAAAGATTGCGACTACAAGAAGCATTGAGCGCTCGCTCCCTTAAAAATACGTTTCTACAGCAGGTTGATGACACCCAAACAAATTTCCTCAATCGTGTATCAAATCATACCCATCACGTCCCGTCCCGTCCCATCCCGTTGGGGGACAAGGCGTTTAGAAGGCACAGAGCACTTAGGAGTTCTTAAGAACTCGTTGAAACGTGTCCATGCGTTCCAGATCGAATTATAATTTGGAAGTGTTGGTTTTTAGGGAGAGGGGAAAACCGGAGTACTCGGAGAAAAACCTCTCGGAGCAAGGGAGAGAACCAACAACAAACTCAACCCACATGTGGCGCGGACCCCAGGATTCGAGCCTTAGGAACTATAGTGTTAGGGAATGCGATATCATCACCGACGATTGTGGTTTAGGGTCCTGTTTAGGGTAGAGTTAGGATTTAGCATGTTTAGAGGTTGTGGTTAGGGTTGGTGTTCTGGGTTCTATCGCTGTCATGTTTATGTCTTACAAAGTTAATTTTCACGTAGTACGATCAGCGTTGCAGATTTCAATGTGTCTACTCGGTATATTTTTGCTGATCACGTCTTCTTTAGATCCTACGTTCTTCGGCATATTCTTTTGCTGTGCGTTGTAGTGAAAGGTTCATGTAATGTTTATTTACGGTTTGGGTGGGTACAGAGCTTATCCACCCATTAATTGACTTACTAATTAGTTGCGATCACACCAACTTTATTTTTATGTTCTTTATACCCTGCCTTTATAACTTATAATGCACATATGAGTATATTTGTACGGGTAACTTTTTTTTTGAGAAATAACGCCAACACAAATAGGATGTGTCAGAACTTCAAAGAATCGTAAAGGACCACCCATGTTTCGATCAAAACAAAGGATGGTTTGCTTGGCGCTTTAAAGTTAACACATTCCGAAATACGTAATAAAAGTCAGGTTTTGTTGTCATAGCAACACCAATAATATTACTGCTGTTGAGTTGGAAAAACAGAGGTTGAGATAATACCCACGCAAATTGGGTGTGCATGGCGTCAGTGTTTCTCTCATCGATCAGGGTCGGAGGGTCAAGCAAAGGTCAAACAAACACAGTTCTTTTAATGTTCGCGCGGTTTGCCTCGTTATTTTTCTTCGCAGCTGATTGATTAGTAATCTTCAAAGGAGTGCCCCATGTAGTTTGTTTTCATTCTCCTATACGCTGAGGCATTCACGCTCATACACCGTATTCACAAATGGCGGACACGCGGGAAAAAACTGGTGCCTAGTTTTGAAAGCGAGGCGTTGGAGGGTAAACAAAAATTGCAAATGAAGACTTTCAGTGAACTTGCAGAGTGTTTAGCACGGATTCCACCTAAAATGACTTTGTATGGACGTCTTTTTAAATACAATTACGTGGGATGTCTTCTGCTTTTAATGTTTAGTATTGATTTGCTGTTTGCAATCAAAAGGGACGCGTATATCTTCAAGGAAACAGGATGATTTTGTAGGTTTCCGAAGCATCAGAAGCTCGACAAGTCGGCGATGGCTGGAGAAAAGCGGCAAACATGTTGGCCCAAACTTCACATTGAAACCGAGTTCGAAAGCCAGCTGACTGCAATTCGGTAAAACAAAAATATAAACAATGCAAATCTTGGTGGCAAGAAAAAGAGAAATAAGCGATGGATATATGGCCTACTTGTTAACGCAAGAGACGTGTGCCATTGAACAAAACAGTTCAAATCGAGATGGAAAAAAGGAAGACAAGAAAGAAGCGGTGACTGAGGTTTCGATGAAGTTATGTTTGGTTTTTGTTTGCCAGGACGTTATTCTCTGGTTTTTATCGATGACGGACATCAATTAGAACTATCTTTTTGGTATAATTGCAGGAGCGATCGAGTGGAGTACGCTCAAAATTTCAACTTGTTACTCGGCAGACTCGGTAAGCCGGCCACATTTCATTTCAGCGAGTAATTTTCCTATTTCTTATCTTTGGCTGTTAAGAGTTTTAACTTCCTGTTCTATGATATTTTAAAAGTGAAGAATACATAAATAAATAAAATGATGGTCTTCTTAAACGGATCTAGACTCGCAGTTAATGATTCGAAACAGAAGCTTGCCGTGTTCAGTCCTGACACAACATTGCCTTAAAAGTTTAACCTAGTAAAATGTGAGCTTTATACCACTTTTTTACCAAGAGCTCTCCGAGATAATGCCGTAAAGGAGACCAGGCAAATAGCAAGCCATAAGATTCACACACTAGAGCTTCTAGTTTTGATAAAATTATTTTATTTCGCAATGACAAAGAAATCAAAAGATTTTAAATTTGCACTGAATTTGCTAGCTCTGCCAACGTACCTCTAACAATTCACTCCAAAGCGACGGAATTACTATCATCCAAAGGAAGTTGTAAATACAGACATACATAGATATGTGTAAAATGAAACTGACATGAATGAATGAGTCTCGTGAATGAATCTTTCACCCGCTCTCGACTTGACCTGTTTTGAGTAATGGCGGAGGTCTCTTCCGTTGACAAGTAGGCCATATATCCGTCGCTTATTTCTTTTTTTCTTGCCACCTATATCTGTTTTTACTTCTGTTTTACAGAATTGCACTGAGCTGGTTTTCGTATTCGGTTTCAGCGTGAAGTTTGGGCCAACATGTTTGCCGCTTTTCTCCAGCCATCACCCACTTGTCGAGCTTCTGAGGCTTCGGCAACCCACAAAATCGTCCTGTTTCCCTGAAGATATACGCGTCCCTTTTGATTGCAAACAGCAAATCAGTACTAAACATTAAAAGCAGAAGACATCCCACGTAATTGTATTTAAAAAGACGTCCATACAAAGTTATTTTAGGTGGAACCCGTGCTAAACACTCTGCAAGTTCACTGAAAGTCTTCATTTGCAATTTTTGTTTACCCTCCAACGCCTCGCTTTCATGACTAGGCACCAGTTTTTTCCCGCGTGTCCGCCATTTGTGAATACGGTGTATTGGTTCTCCTTTTCTCAGTAATTTTCCTCAGCGTTTGATTGGTTAGTATCAGCAATGCACACAGGGTTAAAAGAACGACTACCTCAAGTGACGCAAGATGAAAACGAGATATCCCCAAAGGACATTAGGGAAGTAGCTCGGTTGCGTCATTGTGGTAAATGAATATACCTTAATAGCGAAGAGGATTTTTTACGAAGGCGAGACAACCCAGCCTTCTTCGTTGTTTTTTGAGACTAAAAGTAAGACTGGCAATAAATTGGATAGGCAGTAAGAATCACAAGATATTCCTAACGATAACGGTAAATTTTACAAACCAAGAGAAATCCCTGCCGCTACAAGATCTGATCGTGAAAAATATTGCGCCCGTGGAACTGTTAACTATCGGCATGAAAACCTTCCAAATGCTACAGGAACATGGAGCCCAGTAGAAAAGTCCAATGCAAAAATAAAGAAACGAAGAGACCATCAAAACGAGAATTTTTTCCTGATGGTGGCCACATCATTGGTTTCAGCGGAACCAGATTCAGTTCCCACAACCCTTTTCGGAGCGCTCGTGGTCAAGATTAAGAAGGATTTGGGAGGTCGATCAAGGGAAACGATGGTAAAGTGGTGGAAGGCACTGACTCGAGACCATTCCGACGGCAACGTCCTCCTTGTTTTGGCCATACTTCTGGTTTCAGTGGAGAGAGATTTAGGTCTCACAGCCCTTTGCCGAGCAGTATCCGTCAAGAATGTGAAAGCCTCAGCAGAGATCAAGCACTGGTGGAAGTCATAACAACGCCTGTTGAGCAAAGGCCACAATGGCGAGGGGCGACTGGAAACAATCATTTCCCTCCAAAAGACGACGAAGATATTATTCTCAAGTTAACATAGTTTCAACATTTAAGGCGTGGCAAACAAAGAAATATCGTCAGGAAATGTCTGCATGATACAGAATAGGCCATTTCCGAGTTCCAAAAAATCTCACTTTCAAAACGAGGCTATAAGTGCGAAACCTTTGTTTTGAAAATAAGTTTTATTTGCATCATAATTAAAACTCATTTTCATATCAATGGCTTCGCACTTAACCTCGCTTTGAAAGTGAGATTTTTTGAAACTCGGAAATGGCCTATTGCTTTACTCTGTTTGATCGTAATTCATGTTAAACGTTCAAACTGTCAACTGCGTGCAGTACTCTGAACGCATCTGTTGTAATTCAATAATCAAATTCGATCGATATCGTGCAATGAAATAAACACTTCAAAAACACAACACTTTGGTTTAGTTGAAAATAAGCTATTTGGTTCTCAACGAAGAAGAAAGAAAACAGGAAAGAAAAGCTAACAGAATCATTTTACTTGACGGTGGAATGACAAGAAGGTCGAATTATAACTTAAATCTCAGAAAACTTCGCATAAACAAAATCACTGTCGAACCACAAAGCGGCTCTAAATGGAAAACCTACCGACTCTCTACAATGATTTTCGAAGACAAGGGCAATTTTGCTGTTTACGATAAAGATTGTCGACATTTTCTAACTCCACGCAAGCATGCCAGGCACGCGATCCGCAGAAATTTTTCAGAATTATACATAAGTATGCGAATGTTAGGACAATCAACCAATCAAACTCACTACCCAGTTTTTGGGTAGTGACGTCACTGGACGGCATTAACGGCCGGTTGATTCAGACGTTTCTGAGGGAGTAAAAACAACTCGAAGTTATATTCTGAAATTCAGGCTAGAAATACGTAAGGTTGTTGCAAACAAAGACATCCTGTTTTGTTGTCATAGCAACACTAATGATAGTTTGTGCTATTGAGTAAAAAAACAA